TAATATATACTGTATATAGCATATATAGTATTAGAAAATGTGTGTGTATGTGTAAAAGAGTGTGTGTGTCATTATAGAGATGTGTTTACATTTTTCTAGTTGCCAATGCAGTAATCCAGCAAATGGTTCTTATGCCTTCATAAATTCCTTTTAAAATCATTTATCTTTTTATAATTATGGGTAAGTTTTTAGAAAACATAGACAATTATAGAGGGAAATAGTAGTCCATATTGTAGTACAGTAGATAACCAGGTTTGTTTGTTTTTTTCCTGTGCAGACACATGCACATCCGCAGATAGATGGGGTGGGGTTGTGGGGCAGGTAGGAAATAGATGGGTAGGTGTGTGAGTATGTAGATAGTGTGTATGTGATATAATTGAAATTACTGCACATGTAAGCTATCATGCTTAATGTTATATTCTCACATGAATAGAAGTCTTTATGTTCATACTATTTTATAGAAGTCTATGATTTTTAATAAATGAAAAAGTACAAAACAGCATATATATAAGCAGAACCAACCTAACAAACACCACTCAATAGGCGAAATTTATCTTCTGAGTTATATTAATAAAAGTCATCATTTTGTATATGTACCAATAAATTCAATATCTGTCACTTTCCTACTCTGTTAATCCACCAAAGATTGTATTTCTGCCTCTGGAAAATTAGCTGACTTATAACCAGAGACATAACCAAGTGCAGAATTCCATGACCAACTAAGTGGTCAGTCATGAACCTGTGAGCCTAAAACTTAGTCAATTGTAGGGCTTTACACTGCCACTCCTTTATGGTAGTTGGGAGCATACCAGCAGGCAACAGTGCAGTTGCAAATACCTTTCTGAACCCTACTTGCCTTAAACTCAACTGTACTTGGCAGTTGTTAATTCAGGACAGTGGTTTTCAGCTGGAGGTGATTTTGAGCCCAGGAGACATTTGGCAACGTCTGAAGGCACTTTGGGTTTTCATAACCGGGGAAAGAGGTACTCCTGGGATCTTTTGGGTAGTAGTCAAGGATTCTGCTAACTGTCCTTGAACGCATCGGACAGCCCTCCACAACAAGGCGTTATCAGACCCCCAAATGTCAGTAGTGCTGTGATGGAGAAAGCTTTAGCTGTGGACCCTGAAAGACTGATCCTGGCTGGGTGCTAGGGCATGAGGCCTACACATACACACTAGGGGTAAGTGTGCAACCATCATGGCCTGGATCTAAGAGTCTCACAGACTTTGTATCTAGGGGCATGGCCTCTAGTAGCAAAGACTAAGTAATAATGAAAAGGAAAAAAAACGGAATTTAATAAATAAGATTTCCTGTATTATGCCAGGCTTGCATCTGGATTTTTACCCCTTCTGGATAATTATGAGTAGTAAAAGCAAGGGATACGCCCAGCACAGCATGAAGGAAAGGAAGCAAGAGAGGACCTTTTGGGCTTCTCCTATGAGTAAGGTCCTCCATTGGGGACATTTGTTAGGCCTTTCAACGTTTTTTCATCCTTCTACAAAATGTGGTCTGGCAAGATTTTAGCTTAATTTTTAGAGTTCCTAGTTGAACCAAGATTATTGGAGGAAGGCATTGAGCATATTGATTTTTTTGTACATTAGGTAAAGGGACATTTATTTCTAATAGAGGAAATGGCTATGCTAACTACTATAATGACTTCCTTCACCATTGAGTGACTATCAATAATAATTTGCTATTATTAGAGTCCACTAATTATGGCCTGAGCCTGATATAGTATAAAAAAGATATAAAACATAACTATAGTTGAGTAGAGGATATAAAATTGCATGGTGTCTTACTGTCATTGTGGGAATCTGTCTTGGAGTTTCTTGCACCTAACCCAAGTCATAGGGGTGCACAGAGGTTGATACATAGCAGCGAAGAGTCTGACACAGGAATGCTGACTGAGCCTCACATAGCTCCAACACTGTCAAGTCTGATGGACTCTAAGTCTAGTACTTATCCCCTGTGCGTTTCAGTCCTCTAATCTGTAAAATGGGTATGATAATAATCCTCATAGGGTTATGATGAAGAGTAAGTGTATTAACATGTGTAAAGTACTTGGAACCATTGTTAGCCACCAGATTGGTTTCTGTTGTTAAATTTCTGACTGTCAGGTATCAGGGATTTAGAAGGCAAATCGTCTTGTCATATTGGTGAAAATGCAGATGGGTCCAGCCACTCTAGAAAGTGGAGATTCCAAAAAAAAAAGTTAAAAATAGTACTACCCTATGATCCAGCAATTGCACTACTAGGTAGTTATCCAAAAGACACAAAAATACTAATTCAAAGGGATACATACACCCTGATGTTTATAGCAGCATTATCTATAATAGACAAACTATGGAAATAGCCCAAATGTCCATCAACTGATAAATGGATAAAGGAGGTGTGGTGTATGTACATATACAGTGGAATATTACTCAACCATCAAAAAGAGTGAAATCTTGCCATTTGAGATGACGTGGCTAGAGCTAGAGCATATTATGCTAAGTGAAATAAGTCACAGAAAGACAAATGCCATATGATTTCACTCATGTGGATTTCAAGAAAAGAACAAATGAGCAAAGGGAAAAAGAAAGAGAGAGAGGGACAAACCAAGAAACAGACTCTTAACTGTAGAGAACAAACTAATGGTTACCAGAGGGGAAGTGGGTGTGGGGATGGGTTAAATGAGTGATGGTGATTAAGGAGTGTACTTGTTGTACTTTGCTGTGATGAGCACAGGGTACTATATGGAATTGTTGAATCACTGTATTGTACCCCTGGAGCAAATATAACACTATATGTTAACTAACTGGATTTAAAACAAAAACTTAAATAACGTAACACACACATACAAAAATGAAAACATAGCCATAAATAATATAACTTGGCTTCTATTTTGTTTTACCACGTCTGTAATAAATGAAAGATGTTAGTACAAATAGTGATTGTCAATCTTAAACACACTTGGCAAAGAAATTGGATTTGATTAGAGAATTCAATGGTTTGAAGGTATTACTCAAGCAAAACCTACCCTGTGTCATTTTGTCTTGAGTAGGTAAAAAGCCATGGCTGGTCTGAGTGTAACGGTGTTTACAATTAATTGATCACAGCCAGTTACAGACTTGGGATGCCTGGGTGGCTCAGGCAGTTGAGTGTCTTACTCTTGATTTCAGCTCAGGTCCTGATCCCACGATCGTGGGATCAAGCCCCACCTCAGGCTCTGTGCTGAGCATGGAACCTGCTTGAGATTCTTCTCCCTTCTTTTCTCTCTCTGCTCCTCCCCTGGTACATGCTCTTTCCCATGCACATGCTCTCTCTCTTTCTCAAAATAAATAAATAAACATATAAAAGAAAAAAAGCTAGAGAAGCTTTTAGTCTTTCTCTACAATGGTGTTCACAAACTTTTAGGAAGAACAGCTGTTCTTTAATTTATACTTTAATTCAGTGGAACTTTATTAGACTGAAATTAACCAAACCCCAGAGAGACCTGGAAACATAAATGATTATCAAATGTTATGGATTCTAAATAGGACATTCTGGAAGACAAAGATGAAGGCTAATAATTTACATTTAGTATTTAACTATGACACTCCCATGGAAAAGAAAAAGGTGGCTAATTGGAATCAAATAATGGGATTTGTTTCTTAGATAATAGTATAATGAGTTAGTTAAAAGAACTAACTCATAAGAGGTTTAATAAATTAAGCAATAAAGTTTAATTTCTTTGAAACCATCTATTGTCAAAATTTTTGTAACTAAATTAATTTACAGTGAAATTAAATGAAACTATTTCTTTAAGGTTAGACATGGGTTTTCTCTATTTGGATAGGAATTAAAAATACTGGGTCAGTGGGTCTGGCTATGATCAACCTCTTCATCCTGTTTTAATTATGGGTTCTTTGCTACTTCTGTTTTTATAGTTGTTATTTGATGACTGACATTCAGACATTCACAGCAGTTTTTCCAATCTGCAATTTTACATAAGAGTGCCTCAAAGTGACCTGAAGAGGAGAGTTCTGAGACATAATTACAGAGAGGAAAGAACTACCGACCTAGAATGAGTTGAAGGTTTCCAGGGCTATCTTATTTTCAAATTTTCTAGTGAAACACTGTGGCCCAGTTTCACGTTTCTGCCAGCTGGGGAGGGACACAGGAGGGGCACCTGCAGAGATTATTGTGTGGACAGTACTTTTCTGTTCTCACTGCTGTACATTTGAAAGCATCAGGGGCCAAATATGATTAACCTTATGCTTCTCCCTGGACACTTGAACCCCAAGTGTGCCTGTTACAGCCATGTATCTGTACTTTTTTTTTTTTTTTTTTTGCAAACAGCTGAGCTCATGGCCAAGTGTCATTTGGCAAAGAGGACACAAATATTTGCTGTGTGTTATCTTTTTTGTTTAGGTTCAAAAACTGATTGCCAGTGAGTTATACTAACCAAAGAATCAAGCCAAAGGCATGAATTGGACAAAGTGAAATGTAATTCAGTGATACTCATTATAAATCACAGTTCCCTAACTTTAAGATAATATTTTTTCAGTGCTCTGTATCCAGTTGACAATCTTGATCAATAACACTGCTTCCATGTTAAATGATGTGTTTTAAATTATACAAGCCAAATATTTCCCTCAAATCTTAGCATGTTTCTACACCGAGATCTGTTTCTTCATCTGTAAAATGAAGTTATTGGGATCAAATGATCTCTAAGGTCTTTCCTGGTACCTAAGATCCCCTAAGTAATATCCAGCCTCTTTAATGAGTATATTCTGCTGAATTTCCAAATACTTATGGGGTGTTACAAGTGCCATGACTCCACCTTGCCAAAGGATCCTCTTTGTTGACAGTCAGCAGATATGACTCCCAAGAACTGTTTCTCAATCCCAAGGACATGGTGGTGGTGGCCCATTATAGAGAGATAAGACCAGCCATCTTGTTGCGTCAGTGCTTGCCATGTATGTGTAAACACTAATCTACTTTCTTCCCTTCGCCCTTTCTCTGTGCACTTCAACAGAAAGGAGAGCCTGACTGCTGTGCCCTCTCCCCGGAAACAACTGAGCAACTCACCTTCGAGATCCCCCTGAATGATTCAGGTTCTGCTGGTCTTGGCGTGAGCTTGAAAGGGAACAAATCTCGAGAAACTGGAACAGACTTGGGGATTTTTATCAAATCCATCATCCACGGAGGCGCTGCTTTTAAGGTCTGTAGGAGTGATGTTTGTGCATCCGTGTGAAGGTGCCTGGGATGTGGCTGTTTGTTTGGGAGCTGGATAGAGAGGGTGTCTGAAGATGTGAGACCATAAGTTTCTCCTGCAGATGCAACAAGTATGTGTGTGACTAGATCTGGGCAACAGTCATCTGTCCATATCCTCTCTGGAGTTAGTTTTATACCCTGGACTTTGTTCTCTAAAGCCACCATGATTAATATTCTTTCTCCCATTCCTTTTATCACTGTTAGGCTTCCTCTGAATTTGTAACTTGACCGAGTTGAACCTAAAAATACAACTAAAATCAAGTCAACATGTAGGCAGCAAATAAGGAAATTGTTCTTGCAAGAACGAAAGCTCAGTGGAACCTGACAATGAGTGTAGTATAAGTTAAAGGTCATTGATCACATTATATACTCTTGAAAGTCAGGGTGCCAGGAATGCATTGTTTACCTTTGAACTTGGAAAAGCTTCTAGATTTCCAGAAAGAAAAAAAAAGGAAAGAACTTGATTCTTCCTTTTCCCATTGGGGTGAGTGGTGTGATCATTGCTATTAATATCGTGTAATGGTTAACTGCATTGCCTGCGTTCAAAGCCAGCTTCATCACCATGTCCTCCAGCTCACACACCCCCGCTAGCCATGTGAGGATGTGGGCCATGAACATGACCTGCAGTGCTCTCTTTCTTCATCTCTGGAGTTGCATGATGGGTAATACCTAATTCAAGGGTTCTAAGGATTAGATAAACTAACACACACTGTGACTGAAGCAGTGGTTATAGAGTGGGGAAATTTTGTGCTTATCACCAGCCATCCTCCCCACCATCGTCAGCTCATACCATGCCGTCTCAATATGCCTCAGTTTCCTCATTTGTAAAAAGAGTAAAACTAATAGAACCTACCTCCAGGTGCTTTTTGGAGGACCAAGAGTGTTACTGTATGCATATTGCCTAACCCAGTGCCTACGATAAGCTTTCAGCAAGTGTTAGCCATTTAAAAATAAACTTGATGTCAACAACATGTTCTTCCCTAAACAAAAGCCAAGAAGATCTATGTGAAGTTTCCACGAGCATATTAAGTCCTAGAATCCTGGCTTTGGTGAAGCATTTGTCTTTTCTCATTTCTCATTCCACTTTTGTTTCAGATCTAGACACTGAACTAATGCTGTTTTCCTTGGGAAATAAGAAATTCATTGTGGGTAGACAACTTTTTAATATACTCTTTGGATCAGTAGAATTTTTTTTTTTTTTGCACAATAAGTAATGACAAAATTTCAATAACACACATCAATAAGTAACATACATCAACAACATACATCCATTTGTGCCCCTCATAGCTTGCAGGACAGCGAAAGGGGCTTTGATTCAGGCTGGTGTGTCTCTGTCACAAGTCTGAATGGGCCCCCTGTATTCAGTTCTTGGACCAGCAGGCTAGTGGGAGCATATTCGTCTTGTGCTCTGAGGAGTCAGAAGGCCAGCAGCAAAGAGTGAAGCCTTTGAACTTCTGGGCACTGATCTGGCACACCGTTACTCCACTCACCCACATGCACACACGGATGCACACATGCGCCTCTGATCAAAGCAGTTATGTGGGTGAATCCAAGGTCAAAGGGGTACCATAAGGAGGGTGTGGCAAAGATGGGAGTAGATAGAAAGGTGAAAAATTAGGGTCATTCAATCTATCAAACTCTCCAGTCTGGTTCAGATATGCAGAACCAGGAGCAAAAAGAAAATAATAGTAATAATAACAACGGCAGCAATTAACATGCATTGCGCTTAGTGCTTAATACATGCTGGATTCATGTATTCTTCATATTTACACTGGATTATTATCATGTCATTCCATCATAGGGAAACAGCAGTGGTTAGTGCCTCTCCCATGGTCACATACCCAGGAATTGGTTAAACTAAGATTTGAACTCAGTCCATCTGACTTCAGATCCTGTGCTACATTACACTGCAGTGAAGACTCCTTCATCTCCTCCATCCATATTCCTAGAGATTGCGGCCCATTGCCATGGGGTTATCTGGTGTCATGCTTGTCATCCTTAGTCAAGCCAACAAACATGTGCTATGTTTAAAGAATGAGTCTCAGTCATGTTTGTGGGTACCAGGTTTATATTATTATTCTTATACCTAATGACAGTTCTATTTGCAAAATCTATTCCCAGTAAAATTGGAACTGAAATGAATTTTGGAAATTAAAAGCAAATATCTTTGCTTTTTTTATGGGCAATAACTTAAGCTCCAGCAGATATTGGAGAGCAGGTTTAATACGTATATCCATGTTTGCTTAAGTGAGCATCTCCTTACCTAAGCAGTTTCTAACAGTCCTGTTTCTTGCAGAAGGATTTCACTTTCCATTTATGTAAATTTCTTTCCTGACTGGTCTGCTGAGTCAGACAATCACACCACTAAAAACCACTGGACAGCATATTTATAGCTGATTTTAAACAGTAAGAGGCATCAATCATGAATTTAGCCTTATTGTGAATGTTTAGTATCCATTTGTCTTGTTTACTTTTCACAGTGTAAAGGGTAGAGGACTAAGCTTTGCTCACAAGAAGTCTACTTAACCAGAAAAAGAGAAAGCATTTTTCTATTCTTCTTCTGCTGTTCCAGTAATCCACTGTTATTCCTCAGAAAATTGCCACCTGTTCTGTGATTCAGGATTATGTCTTACAGAAATTGTTTTGAGACTTTGTTCCTGTCCCTGTTCAGAAGATACAAATGTAACAGACTGCGATGTCCCTGGGGCGAGGGGAGATAAGCATGGGGAACATCCACTTTAGCATCTGGCCCTAGGTTTTTACCTGAAATCAACAAAATAATCTTTCTGCCAGAGCACAATCTTTTTCTACTGGTCCTTCGTACCCACTAATTGGTTCTCAAGGTGTTTTTCCCTTTAGGGAAGGTGGATTTTTGAAAACTAAACTACTTTGAAAAGTATGACCAAATTCTTCCTGTGGATTCTGTATGCTGTATTCCCCCCGGGGGTTTCTGTTGGTGTAAACAAAGATAGGCTACTTCTTGCCAGATGCAAAACCACAGAAGGACTGTGACTGTAATTGAGGGCCTCTTTTTTCTTTCTTTTTCTTTCTTTTTTTTTAACTTATCTCTCAGGCTACTGATTTCTATCATTTCCTCTCTTATTTGGGGAAGTAAATCTCTTTGGAGATGTAAATCTCTGTTGGAAAATAAGAGTATCTGGCTACTTTAGGATTCCCTCTTAGAAGTGAATTCCTGTCACTATAAGGGCATACTGAGCAATATTTTAACTCTATTCAGAGTTATTCAAGTGCTTAATCTCATTAATATTTAAATTGCAGTTTGCATATCAAGAGTAAATCCCAGAAATTTTCTCCACGTGTGTCAGGACCCAGCATTTGCTGTTTCAGACCACTTCAGACCAGGGAATCCTTTGTGGACCCCTCTGAAGCATCACTTTTGAGCTGTGCTTTTCACCATACACAGTGACCATTGACCTTCATAGCCACATACAACTGAGTATTGATACTAATATGCTTCAACAATAACAGACATTGCCTGTTTGTAGTTTCATTGTAGTTTCTGTCATTCTTACTGGACATTTGCCTCTGAAGTACAGTGTAATTGCTTCCAGAACCAAAATATACTAGATATAAGTTGATGGGTTAATGACTTCTTATAAACCAAGAACTGAGCGGAATTTTGATGTTCATGAGGATGCTTTTATAGTTAGTGTTAAGTGAAAAGAAAGGAATATTGTCTTCATTGCAAAGTTAGTTAAAAAGGTACCTTGAGAAAAATACTCTCCTTTCTCCAAATCCAAATAAAAAATTAACTTTTCCTTTCCTCTAGTAAAACACACATAAAGTCTTATAATCAGTTTGAAGACATTCAATATTCTCATCTCATTTGCTAAACATTCTGAAATCAGTGGCTTTCTTTTGCTTTCCTTTTCAGGAACTGTATTAACTGAAATTTTAAGGAGAAAATGTTTTTTTTTTTTTACAACCATTGATTATAATAATTTAAGCTGCTTATTTCTCTTGTGTTTCTACCTTAAAAATGAATCGCTTTAGGAAAAGTATATAACTAGAATAGTGATATTTTAAAACAATCGAGATAGAATATTAGTATGCTGTAGTAAGAATAAAATTCTCATGGAGTCTGTTATATTAATTCTGAATGACTTATTTTATTTGAATATATAGACTTTGGGAGTAAAATATGTCATATGAAGCCTTGAAATAATAAGGTAAAAATTAAAATTTAAAGGTAGTTTTTTCTAAGAGAAAAAAATGTCACGTATCAGATTACTTAAGGTCTCTTAAATAGGGAGAATGAATTTAAGAATACCTGTTATTCTCTAGAAAATTAATTAGCCAGGTTTGTGCTTAATAAATACTACTTGATGATGATGAGATTAAATGAAAGAAAAATGCCTGATATAGCTAATTGCAAATGCATGCGCTCAGAATATGAAATAGACATAATTTAAGTAATTTGATTCTGGTGTGCTTAGGAAATTTGGCATGGTCCCTCTGAGAAATGCAGAATTTCCTAATCTACGCTGTTTAGTGTAAGGTTCAAGAATTTTTTTTTTTCTAATACGAGCAATCCCCCTATTTTAAAATGACTAAAGTATGAATTTTTAGAGAGAATATATACAGTTCTAGAATTTCTGGGAATACAGTGCTTGATCCTCAATCTTCATGTCCCTCAATAATATGGAACATTTAATAGCATCCAAGCTACTCAATTGGAGGCCAGTAGGAGTTCCCAGCATGAGTAATTTCCAAGTCCATCTCTATTGGTATCTATTAATCATGTGGTGGATCTCTAATTAATGAATTCAAAGGAAGATAAAAGGGACAACTTTTTAAACACTAATGTTAAATGGTTTCTTCAACTAACCATTTTTCTTAAAATTGATTGTGTTTTCTGCTGGTGGAAAACTGTAACAATTGTTACCAATAGCCATGGCTTCCAGGTTTTACCTCCAGCCAAAGGAC